AGCCTTTCCACCACGCGCCCCCACGCCTTGCGCTAACTTATGGACGCTCTCTCCACAGCGCGTCCTCTCTACCAACCTCAACACAAAGCCTAAAACATGCTGCTGCTGCAGCTAGCTACCATTTTCCAGCTGCGCGCGGTGTCTCGCACCTAGCTGCAACGAATGCGAGGGCGGTGGAGAGAGAGCGTGTTGGTGTGCGTGTTTGTGGGTTTGTGTTGAAGGTATTTAGTGGATGTTGAGTGTTACTCTGTGGCAGTGGATAGGGAGAGAAGCGCGGAAGTGGCGTTATGGAGGGATGCGAGTGGTGCGCAATTGGTGTTGAGCATATAGAAGGTTGAGGGTGGCGGTTTGATGAAGAGGATGGGAAGGACGTAAATTGGGGTGTTTGCTCGTTGCTGAGTCGAAGGTGAGCTGTTGGAGGTGAATAGAAGAGGGTTGAGAGGCGTAGGAGTTGTTAGGGAAGCCAACAAAAAGGCCGTCATCACCCAAAGGGATTCCCGCGGAGTCCCCTACCGCAGTACTAACCGGGCCTTGCGCCGCTTAAATTCGGAGTTCAGATGGGATCCGGTGCATTAGACGCAGTATGAACGACGGCAAATCACATACACACTCCCTCAATACACCTCTACTTCACACACCTTCTACCAACAACTTCCCACGCAACATCCCCTCTCCAACACCACTCAACGCCCCTCACGCCCACAAAAAACAACCCACGTCCACCCACACACAGCCTTTCGACCACGCGCCCCCACGCCTTGCGCTAACTTATGGACGCTTTCTCCACAGCGCGTCCTCTCTACCAACCTCAACACAAAGCCTATAACATGCTGCTGCTGCAGCTAGCTACCATTTTCCAGCTGCGCGCGGTGTCTCGCACCTAGCTGCAACGAATGCGAGGGCGGTGGAGAGAGAGCGTGTTGGTGTGCGTGTTTGTGGGTTTGTGTTGAAGGTATTTAGTGGATGTTGAGTGTTACGCTGTGGCAGTGGATAGGGAGAGAAGCGCGGAAGTGGCGTTATGGAGGGATGCGAGTGGTGCGCAATTGGTGTTGAGCATATAGAAGGTTGAGGGTGGCGGTTTGATGAAGAGGATGGGAAGGACGTAAATTGGGGTGTTTGCTCGTTGCTGAGTCGAAGGTGAGCTGTTGGAGGTGAATAGAAGAGGGTTGAGAGGCGTAGGAGTTGTTAGGGAAGCCAACAAAAAGGCCGTCATCACCCAAAGGGATTCCCGCGGAGTCCCCTACCGCAGTACTAACCGGGCCTTGCGCCGCTTAACTTCGGAGTTCAGATGGGATCCGGTGCATTAGACGCAGTATGAACGACGGCAAATCATACACTCCCTCAATACACCTCTACTTCACACACCTTCTACCAACAACTTCCCACGCAACATCCCCTCTCCAACACCACTCAACGCCCCTCACGCCCACAAAAAACAACCCACGTCCACCCACACACAGCCTTTCGACCACGCGCCCCCACGCCTTGCGCTAACTTATGGACGCTCTCTCCACAGCGCGTCCTCTCTACCAACCTCAACACAAAGCCTATAACATGCTGCTGCTGCAGCTAGCTACCATTTTCCAGCTGCGCGCGGTGTCTCGCACCTAGCTGCAACGAATGCGAGGGCGGTGGAGAGAGAGCGTGTTGGTGTGCGTGTTTGTGGGTTTGTGTTGAAGGTATTTAGTGGATGTTGAGTGTTACTCTGTGGCAGTGGATAGGGAGAGAAGCGCGGAAGTGGCGTTATGGAGGGATGCGAGTGGTGCGCAATTGGGGTTGAGCATATAGAAGGTTGAGGGTGGCGGTTTGATGAAGAGGATGGGAAGGACGTAAATTGGGGTGTTTGCTCGTTGCTGAGTCGAAGGTGAGCTGTTGGAGGTGAATAGAAGAGGGTTGAGAGGCGTAGGAGTTGTTAGGGAAGCCAACAAAAAGGCCGTCATCACCCAAAGGGATTCCCGCGGAGTCCCCTACCGCAGTACTAACCGGGCCTTGCGCCGCTTAAATTCGGAGTTCAGATGGGATCCGGTGCATTAGACGGAGTATGAACGACGGCAAACCACACACTCCCTCAATACACCTCTACTTCACACACCTTCAACCAACAACTTCCCACGCAACATCCCCTCTCCAACACCACTCAACGCCCCTCACGCCCACAAAAAACAACCCACGTCCACCCACACACAGCCTTTCGACCACGCGCCCCCACGCCTTGCGCTAACTTATGGACGCTCTCTCCACAGCGCGTCCTCTCTACCAACCTCAACACAAAGCCTATAACATGCTGCTGCTGCAGCTAGCTACCATTTTCCAGCTGCGCGCGGTGTCTCGCACCTAGCTGCAACGAATGCGAGGGCGGTGGAGAGAGAGCGTGTTGGTGTGCGTGTTTGTGGGTTTGTGTTGAAGGTATTTAGTGGATGTTGAGTGTTACTCTGTGGCAGTGGATAGGGAGAGAAGCGCGGAAGTGGCGTTATGGAGGGATGCGAGTGGTGCGCAATTGGGGTTGAGCATATAGAAGGTTGAGGGTGGCGGTTTGATGAAGAGGATGGGAAGGACGTAAATTGGGGTGTTTGCCCGTTGCTGAGTCGAAGGTGAGCTGTTGGAGGTGAATAGAAGAGGGTTGAGAGGCGTAGGAGTTGTTAGGGAAGCCAACAAAAAGGCCGTCATCACCCAAAGGGATTCCCGCGGAGTCCCCTACCGCAGTACTAACCGGGCCTTGCGCCGCCTAACTTCGGAGTTCAGATGGGATCCGGTGCATTAGACGCAGTATGAACGACGGCAAATCATACACTCCCTCAATACACCTCTACTTCACACACCTTCTACCAACAACTTCCCACGCAACATCCCCTCTCCAACACCACTCAACGCCCCTCACGCCCACAAAAAACAACCCACGTCCACCCACACACAGCCTTTCGACCACGCGCCCCCACGCCTTGCGCTAACTTATGGACGCTCTCTCCACAGCGCGTCCTCTCTACCAACCTCAACACAAAGCCTATAACATGCTGCTGCTGCAGCTAGCTACCATTTTTCAGCTGCGCGCGGTGTCTCGCACCTAGCTGCAACGAATGCGAGGGCGGTGGAGAGAGAGCGTGTTGGTGTGCGTGTTTGTGGGTTTGTGTTGAAGGTATTTAGTGGATGTTGAGTGTTACTCTGTGGCAGTGGATAGGGAGAGAAGCGCGGAAGTGGCGTTATGGAGGGATGCGAGTGGTGCGCAATTGGGGTTGAGCATATAAAAGGTTGAGGGTGGCGGTTTGATGAAGAGGATGGGAAGGACGTAAATTGGGCTGTTTGGTCGTTGCTGAGTCGAAGGTGAGATGTTAGCGGTGAATAGAAGAGGGTTGAGAGGCGTAGGAGTTGTTGGAGAAGCCAACAAAAAGGCCGTCATCACCCAAAGGGATTCCCGCGGAGTCCCCTACCGCAGTACTAACCGCGCCTTGCGCCGCTTAAATTCGGAGTTCAGATGGGATCCGGTGCATTAGACGCAGTATGAACGACGGCAAATCATACACTCCCTCAATACACCTCTACTTCACACACCTTCTACCAACAACTTCCCACGCAACATCCCCTCTCCAACACCACTCAACGCCCCTCACGCCCACAAAAAACAACCCACGTCCACCCACACACAGCCTTTCGACCACGCGCCCCCACGCCTTGCGCTAACTTATGGACGCTCTCTCCACAGCGCGTCCTCTCTACCAACCTCAACACAAAGCCTAAAACATGCTGTTGCTGCAGCTAGCTACCATTTTTCAGCTGCGCGCGGTGTCTCGCACCTAGCTGCAACGAATGCGAGGGCGGTGGAGAGAGAGCGTGTTGGTGTGCGTGTTTGTGGGTTTGTGTTGAAGGTATTTAGTGGATGTTGAGTGTTACTCTGTGGCAGTGGATAGGGAGAGAAGCGCGGAAGTGGCGTTATGGAGGGATGCGAGTGGTGCGCAATTGGGGTTGAGCATATAAAAGGTTGAGGGTGGCGGTTTGATGAAGAGGATGGGAAGGACGTAAATTGGGGTGTTTGGTCGTTGCTGAGTCGAAGGTGAGATGTTAGCGGTGAATAGAAGAGGGTTGAGAGGCGTAGGAGTTGTTGGAGAAGCCAACAAAAAGGCCGTCATCACCCAAAGGGATTCCCGCGGAGTCCCCTACCGCAGTACTAACCGCGCCTTGCGCCGCCTAACTTCGGAGTTCAGATGGGATCCGGTGCATTAGACGCAGTATGAACGACGGCAAATCATACACTCCCTCAATACACCTCTACTTCACACACCTTCTACCAACAACTTCCCACGCAACATCCCCTCTCCAACACCACTCAACGCCCCTCACGCCCACAAAAAACAACCCACGTCCACCCACACACAGCCTTTCGACCACGCGCCCCCACGCCTTGCGCTAACTTATGGACGCTCTCTCCACAGCGCGTCCTCTCTACCAACCTCAACACAAAGCCTATAACATGCTGCTGCTGCAGCTAGCTACCATTTTCCAGCTGCGCGCGGTGTCTCGCACCTAGCTGCAACGAATGCGAGGGCGGTGGAGAGAGACCGTGTTGGTGTGCGTGTTTGTGGGTTTGTGTTGAAGGTATTTAGTGGATGTTGAGTGTTACTCTGTGGCAGTGGATAGGGAGAGAAGCGCGGAAGTGGCGTTATGGAGGGATGCGAGTGGTGCGCAATTGGTGTTGAGCATATAGAAGGTTGAGGGTGGCGGTTTGATGAAGAGGATGGGAAGGACGTAAATTGGGGTGTTTGCTCGTTGCTGAGTCGAAGGTGAGCTGTTGGAGGTGAATAGAAGAGGGTTGAGAGGCGTAGGAGTTGTTAGGGAAGCCAACAAAAAGGCCGTCATCACCCAAAGGGATTCCCGCGGAGTCCCCGACCGCAGTACTAACCGGGCCTTGCGCCGCTTAACTTCGGAGTTCAGATGGGATCCGGTGCATTAGACGCAGTATGAACGACGGCAAATCATACACTCCCTCAATACACCTCTACTTCACACACCTTCTACCAACAACTTCCCACGCAACATCCCCTCTCCAACACCACTCAACGCCCCTCACGCCCACAAAAAACAACCCACGTCCACCCACACACAGCCTTTCGACCACGCGCCCCCACGCCTTGCGCTAACTTATGGACGCTCTCTCCACAGCGCGTCCTCTCTACCAACCTCAACACAAAGCCTAAAACATGCTGCTGCTGCAGCTAGCTACCATTTTCCAGCTGCGCGCGGTGTCTCGCACCTAGCTGCAACGAATGCGAGGGCGGTGGAGAGAGAGCGTGTTGGTGTGCGTGTTTGTGGGTTTGTGTTGAAGGTATTTAGTGGATGTTGAGTGTTACTCT